GCGTGGGCAAGGGTCGGAAGTGATGTCTTGGACAGTGGCAAGTAGGACATCACTCTCAGCCGACGCAGCTGGGGAGCATTGAAGGCACGGTCGTCGTCTTTCTCGGAAAACTCGATGATACTGGGTGTTAGACGAAATGAGAAGTCTTGGACTCGGTGCATGGCCCCAAATACAGCTTCCAAAACCCGCGCTGGCAAATCTGCATGGATGTTGGGTTGCCTGAGCGCCACAGGGGCGCTGCGTGATCGCTGGAGGAATGTCGTTATACGATGATAGTCATCAGCCCGGAGGAGGATACGACTCCAGACCTGAGGGGCACTGAGTGCAATGGCACGCCATGCACGACACACAAAGGTAACAGTGAGCCAATAGTGCGGTTTGCGAAGCTCGCCGTATTTGCGATCATCACAAAGGCATACTAGGTTGTAGAAGATCTCCGCGAGTATTTCTGGCGGAAGGCGGCCTATAGGGGCGAGTGTGCTGCGATGATATTTGGCGGCATATATGTGGAATTTAAGGCTCGTGATTTTTGCCTCGAGGCTCTTGAAGAGGTCGCTCACTTGCACAGGCGTAGTGAGGTTGGAAAACATGTCCACGCCGAGTTTCTGCAACATCGTGATTATATTAGCTGAGCCGGTTGGACCAAAACCATCAAGATGTACAAACAGAGCCTGAGGAAACAGTATCGTCAGTATGCGCAGTTGCAGTACTAGTTGGATTCGAACCAAAAACCCCTGTTGATATCGGGACGACTGTGAGTGGCTAGGGAGTAGCGGGAAACGGCCGTCGTCGCCTGACACCGGAAGCCTAGAACCAGGCAGAGTTCAAGTGAGCAGGAAAGGTGAAAAGTAGACATAAGAACGAGCCCGACGCAGATAGAGGCTGATAGGGGTCACGGGCAGGATGAGAGAATCTCCTATATCCTCGCGGCTATAGCCTACGATCTCAGTTAGGTACATCCGCTGCAGGCAAACGTCGGTAACGGTAACGCTCTGGTCAAGTTTGCTCGTCTGCTAGTGAACTCATTCTGCAGAGAGCAGGGATTAGTAGAGCACTCGTTTGCGTGCTCAGCGCTCAGCTCGCACTACGCTCCGGCGGCGCGCCATCCGATTAATTCACCTCCCGTACGACAACTACGAGAGCTAGTTCTGCTCTATAAATACCTACTGCGAGGACTCATGATAGCCAGACACTTGAATGCGCAATAATTCCCATGCCGCGTCGCAGGTATCATATTAGCTGCCTCACCGGCGAATGGTGGTTCTTGCTCCCGACATATGGTAGACACAACGATGGCGCGCGAGGTGGCATATAAGACACGACATAAGCTTGCCTTTCGGTTTCTGAAGGCAATTCAGCCATAGCACCGGATATAAAACAGGGCGTGCGCAGCCACAGATATCCACGCCAGAGGGTCCACGCCAGAGGGTCTATGGGGCTCGCGGTGTCGGCCGCAGTCCATCGACTTCATCGCAGGGAACAGAACGGCCACCTTCACGTCTGATAAGCGAGGACGCAAAGAGTGGCGCAGAGGCACACGTACTGGCAGAATCGGTCGAGACTCAACAACATCGCCAGATAATACCCCATCCGCGCGTCGGTAAGATACCACGCTCCAGCCTGACATGGCGGAATGATTAGATAGAATGCAGACGCTACAAAGGGCGACACGTACACACCAACGAACGTCTCGTCGAAACCCTGCGCCTCGTCGTCATCCTGCTCCTTCTGCCGAACCTGCTCCTTGAACCGCGCTCGAACGGACCATCCTTTCCGCACACGAAGCCCGGGAGGGCGCTCGTAAAGACCGGGCCGCGACCAGTGGTACCTGGTAAGCGGCGACATTGCCTGCGGGAGACTGACTCCCTGAATATCAGTAGAATGTTAAGAAGATCTATGCGAAAGGGTTAACCAGTGAAGGCGGGCGGAGACGCAAGAGACTCGATGAATTCGCCAACGAGCTTGCCCGGCAGGCGCGCGTTCGTACGAGGCTCGCTGCGCTCGATATTCTACTGGAGAAAGAGGCTAAGCACTTGACAGAAACACCGGTAAGAAAAACAGCACACCTTGTGGCATAGCTCGCGCACGAACCGGTGCGCCTCCTCCATGTGCAGCATCTCGCCTCTCGGGACCTTCACCCCGAGCTTCTAGCGTCATGAACATGTCGTATTGCAGCCACGGCCGCTTGGAGTCCAACCCATACTCATTCTTGCTGTTCCTGCCGTCGGGGTGGAACACCGCTGTCGTCTTCGCGCCCATCAGGTGCTTCACAAGGCTCTCAGTTAGGCCCCCGGCGTTGGACGATATCAATGATGCCGCACATGTCCGCATGCGCCGCGCAGAACTCGGAGTTGTGCGTTAGATCGATGTTCTCGTTGTGGAAGACATGCCCGATCTCGTACGCCTGGTCCAGACTGTCAGCGACGCGCTGCTTCAGGTACGGCTCGGGGGCGGTACGGAGGCCCAGGCTGAGGTTGGAGTCGTTGTGGTGCGCGAACACGTCGCAGTCGCACCACCAGGAATCATGCTTGTCATCGGCATCTCGATCTCGAGGAAGCCGAGGTTATCGAAGAACCGGGGGATTGGTTGACGATCCGGCTGCGGGCGATGAAGACGCTTTTTGTGCCTTTGCTGAGGGCGAGGTCCAAGTAGTGCTTGCGGTAGTAGGGTTTCTAGTCCTTTGAGACTGAAGTGGTCTGACGGCAGCCGGTGGAGGTCGCCGGAAGCAAGGAGAATTATTTCTGAAAAGGCGAACGAGAGTCCGCGCGCCCCTCTTGGTGCGCCCCGGGGCTCCATTACAACGGCACCGATGATGTCACCACGGTGCAGGTGCTCGTGTTACACGATGAAGCTCTCCGGGTCCTTGGCGTCTCTAAGGAACGACATTTTCAGTGGGCTTGTAGGCAGCGGAAAGGCAAGTAAGGACTCACTGCCTGACTGCCATGATCTGCACCTTCTTGCCTTCGCCATGGAGGTCGTGGAAACGTAGTTCTGAGCCGGACGCATGAGTGCGATGGATATGTTCCGCATAGCACTCGACGGTGCCCTTGGCCTTCTCTCCGGGCTTGGTTGTGCTTTCAGGGTCATACTTTCCATGTAGTGCGGAAGCGATATTGAGATTCAAACAGACCTCAAACGGACCCCAAACTCGTGAGGGTAGGGGCTGGGCCTCATCATATCCTAAAGCATGTGGATGTGGTGCGAATGAAGTATTGCTGGAATGGGCATCTCAACTCGAGAGACAGCGTGTCGAGCTGCGTACGTTCGGCTTGAGGTCTCCCTCGTTTACTCGGGAGGGCTCCACTCGGTCCCTTGAACGACTCATCTGAAGGCAAGTTCGGTCAGGTCTCACAAGAAAAGGGGGGATAGCGTACTCACCGCTGGCACGCGCAGTTGGTGTTAGAGAAAGTATTGTTCAAAGGACCCTTGTCTCTTGCAGACGCCGAGCTGACCATTTTGAGAACAAGTCCAATCTTGACTCCGTTGGCTTTAGAGTCTGATGTGACAAAGCTGGTAATGCGATAGCATGTTTAGTCTTCTTCTGTTCGCGACGCTTGTGGAACTGCAAGCTAGTATGGTACGCCGGACGGTCGCGGTTCAACCAATTCGTTGAGTTGTGTCACTCCACGCTTTGTCCTTTGTTATCTTATCGACAATTGATCCGACATACCTAATACAGCCGGTCGACGCCGGCACTTCCCAGCTCCGCATCTCCTCTGTGGACAATTTTTGACCGTATCGACATCCACACTGGCATGGTTTACACGGTGTATTGGTGGCAAAATTGTGAATGCACAAACGAAGGTGATATTTACGGGTGAGCAGGCCACGTGGCAAAAGACTTAAGAATAGTGAGGTGTGTATCGAGCTTGTGCAGGTCAACTTGCATGAACTGCACGCACGAGTCTGAGTCGATAGACGTAGACAACACGGTGGCAAAAATACTTATATTGCGGCGGAGCACGCGAGCGCTAAACGTCAAATCTAAGCGCTAAAGTTAAAGCTTCACCCCGCTCTTGTTCTCAAGCACCTAAGTAGTAAGATCCCCTCTGTTCTTTCGCTCTCCTCCTTCTTCTCGGCGCTGCGTCACGTCTGCAAAGGTGTCAGCCTTTCTGACTGTGTATCTTGGTAGTAAGTTATCTCGCGCTGCCGCTTCCCGAGTATATTGTAATAACCGTGCCCGCAGGAAGCTAAACATACCTTCAAACCGATCCAACTCGAACAGGTCACCGTCGAGCTTGTCATTGATGGCACAGTGTTCGGCGTGTCCTACATGCACCCGGGCACATAGTATGGGCTTGAGACGTCAATGGGGTGCGTAGACGATCTCATCTTCCACGAGCCTTACTCACCAAGCCGCCGTCATCTAGGGCGCGTCCTGAGGATAGCTGGTTGAGCATAAATGGCAATGCATCAATAAGATCTCTACCGCCCACTGG